AGTTCTGCTGTTTAGGTGGCCGTGTCAGACCTGACCTTTACCTCACCTACCTCTATTAGGCTTACCATTGATACACATTTCTAAATTGGCTGTAAATGGAAAGGATGTATGTTTCCATAATGTCTTTTCAGACATGTGAAACCAGACATGTGAAACTAGATAGGTAATCCTGAACTCTTGAACTATGCACACCAAGCATTCTAGAAGGTGCAATAAAAGCGTAAAAGTTCCAACCATAATTCTGAGTAGGCGTTGTGGTTTTTGACACCTTGACAACGGTTACAACGGTTACGAAGAACATGAGTCAGGATGCAGACGGACTACGTAAAATATTTGAACCATCTTCCTGGGCCAGCGAATCTTAGAGACAAGCTGTCTCTGTTAATAAATTAAAGTATCAAGTTTGCATATTTGAAATTAAATGTTTAAAGAAAAAACTTGATTCTAAACATGACATTGACAATGTGTGTTCTGCTTTCATGAAAAATTTTCATATTCCCTCTTGTTAAAATTGCATATTATTACTATAGTCTTTATTTGTTTTAATTTTAACTTTACATTTTTAATTGTTCATTTAAGTAAAAGTTGAACATATGTGGCCTCCTTCTCCCTCAAAGATAGAAAAGGGGAAACCACCTGATGCAGAGAGGGAGGAGGCAAGAGACTATAAAAGATGATGTGTAAAGAGGCTCTTGGCTCTTGGGCTATGGGCCCTGGGCCTGGGCCTGGGCCTGGGCCTGGGCTCTTTTAGACGGCTTTAGGACATTTGACTTGTGAACCTGTTGCTTTTGTATTTTGACTTGGTGTCTTATTTATTTTTTGGATTCTTCTAAATCCTATATTTTTGTTAAAACCTTAATAAAACCGGTTTGTACTTTGTACATTTCGATCCAATTCCTGGTCTCTCTCGTGGTCTCTGAAGGCATCTGCTTGGTCTTAGAGTGAGGTAAGAACACCCTTCCTTGGACAAGGCTGACATTAGTTGATCATTTGGATTTTAAATTGTTTAAGGGGAATAGAAACCCTGCTAAGGTTAAACTATATTTTCACATTGGTTACTGTGGTTGATGTGGTTTTGATCAATGTTGAAATATGATATAAGCTCTGCTGATGTGGTAATATCACTGCTGTGATATTCATGTTTGACTCTGGCTGTGTTTGATATTACATTTGCATTGTTTTGATTGGTATAACTGGGGATCAAAATTAGGGGTTAGGGATTGTGGGTCCTGAAGCTGCCCTACCAAGGGGTCTCTCAACGACACAGGGTTTCTCCTCCAGGGGCAGTTTAGATACTGCTCTGGGGTTCTACCAGCCCACCAACACCTACTACACTATACTATTGCTATCCTGGCGGCCGCAGACCGACGCTTTAGTGTCTGAAATAAGTGATACGACGGGCAGCATGGTGTTAGAGGCCATGCTGTAAGCGCCCCCCTAAACAGATTACGTTGATTTTGCGTGTCGATTCTGGGGGGTTTAGTCCTAAAAAGATTGGACGGCCGTTCACCGGAGCCTATTCAGCACCGGAGTTCGGTATCTTAGACGGCCTAGATATTAACATTGGTTGTATCGAAGTTAGATGCCTTTTCACAACATACATGGAAAAAATAATCAAAAGAGGCAAGGTTCTTGTAGACTTTGTAAAATGCCACTCAGAGTGATGTGTGTGATGAGTGAAATAACAGAACCTCAAATTTAAAATTATACTGGTTGCTCCCCCAATTCATTCTGACTTCTTAAAGTTGCATTTTGAAGACCTTGTTTCTACAGTTTGATGTAATTGACTATTTTCACATAAACCTGAGAGAGCTTTTCTACCTAAAACCAAGGCCAATTTTCTTCACACACTGACAAATTTGATGAGTGACATTTCAATAATGCCTGAAATACATTTTCCACTAAAAGAAAAGTAACAAAAAAAGGCTGATGAATAAAGAAGAACATCAACATATGATTAACAAAGGGAAAACCAACCCTTCCGAGTCATCATTCTGCACAATACGCTGTTTTTGGGACAGGAACAGTTGAAAGACCCTGGCAGGTTGGTGCAGGATGTCTGCCCAGGACAGGCCGTGGGTAAAACACACTCATCAAAGTCCACACATCCTCCTTTTCCATGACCGTTGTCTTTGGTAGCATTCCAGCCCTGACTGCAAGAGCACTTAAAGCCTCCTGCATAGTTAGAGCAGGTGGCAGCTGGGTGACACTGCCCATTGGCCTGTTGGCACTCATCAAAGTCTACACACAGTGGTCCGATACTCACAAAGCCGGGCATACACACACATAAGAAGGACCCTGGGCTGTTGTGACACCTTGCAGAAGAGTGGCACGGTATAGTCAGGGCGACACACTCATCTACGTCTTTGCACCAGGAGCCATTTCCAGTGGAGCCTAAAGGACAGTGGCATGAAAAGGAACCAAGTGTGTTCCAGCACCGCGCAGAGGAATGGCACGGTGAATCCTCACACTCATTGGTGTCGACACATGCCTGCTGCTCCTCATGGTACCCCAATGGACATGAGCAGTTGTACCCTCCAGGCAGGTTGGCGCACACCTGGTCGAAGCGGCAAGTGGTGTTGTCCATGCACTCGTCGATATCCTCACAGCCTGTGCTACTGGGTTTGTACCCAGGGGAACACAGGCAGAAGAAGGATCCTGCTGTGTTTTTGCATATTGCGTACTGAGGGCAAGGGGTGCCACCTGGGTCGTTACACTCATCCACATCCTCACACTCTGTACCATTCCGAATAAACCCCTCATTACAGGGGCAACGGTAAGATCCAGGGATGTTGATGCATGTTGAATGATGCTGACACACTGATGGGTTGAGGAAATCTGAGCATTCATCTACATCCATGCACTCTGTCCCATTACTCAAAAATCCTTTGAAGCATTCACAGTAAAATGAACCGATAGCATTATTGCACGTGCCATTGGTGCAAAGCTCACCCAACCCCATGTCACTGCATTCGTCGATGTCCACACACAAATCATCCACGCTGGAAAATCCAAAGTCACAACTACACAGATGGCTTCCGTTGACATTAATGCATGTGCTATGCTCAGGGCAGGTAGAGTTGTCTTGGCATTCATCAATATCCTCACAGTCAGTGTTGTTTCCTTTGTAACCTTCCCAGCAGTCACAGATGAAAGATCCAACTGTGTTTAGGCAGTTTGAGAATTCAGGGCACTGGATGAAGCCAATGGAACACTCATCTACGTCTAAACACAGGGAGCCGTTGCCTACGAAGCCAGGGTCGCAGGTACATTCATAGCTCCCGTCTATGTTAGTACAGGTGCTGTTGTCAGGGCAGGAGAAGTTACCGGTCAAACATTCATCCATGTCCTGACAATGTGTCCCATTGTTCAGAAACCCTTCCCAGCAGTCACATATGTAGGAGCCATTTGTGTTAAAGCAGTAGGAGAAGGCAGGGCAGGCTTGATCTTGCGATGTGTTGCATTCATCAACATCATAGCATCCGATACCACTTCCCTCATAGCCATTTTCGCAATGGCAGTAGAAGGAACCCTTGTGTGGGTAGCACTTGGCAAGTGGGTGACAGATGCTACTAGCATTCAGGCAGGTGTCTTCACTCACACATGTGCCATCATCATACACCAGGCCCAAGATACATGAACATGTGTAGAAACCAGGTGTGTTGCTGCATGTCATGTTGCTGCTACAGGTTGTGGCCAACTGACATTCATCAACATCCTCACAAACAAAGCCGTCACCCTGGTATCCATCCTGGCACTGGCAGGTGTAGGACCCGTTTGTGTTTTGGCACAATGCATGGGAGCTGCAGTTGTGTGGCAGGGTCGAGTTCTCCTCACATTCATCCACATCCCGGCAGTCAAAGCCATTGCCCATTGTGCCAGGTGGGCAGGCACAGTAGAAAGATCCAGGAGTGTTAGTGCAGCTGGCAACTGGATCGCATCTTCCGTTTTGGACTTGGCACTCATCAATGTCTATAATTTATCCAAAATGGGACAGTGTCAGGGAAACAGTCCCGAATGGGGCTAAAGGTGAGACTACTTATGGGGATAATGGATGCTTACAAATTAGGAATTGATACTTACCAGAGCAGTTCTTCCCGTCACCCGAGAAACCGCTGAGACAGAAGCAGGAATAGTTGCCAATTGTGTTGACACACTGGGCAAACTCACTGCACTCTTGCTGTCCTGACTCACACTCGTTTACATCTAGAAAAGGAATGGACAAATAGGGAGGAAGATAATTAAGCTTAACAGAATCCCAAAATAAACAAAAAACAGCTTTTACAATATTAGGTGTTGACATAGTAGATACATTTTAATGCTAAGTCACTGTGATATACATAAACCTACATTGTTTTCAATTCTAGAATGAGTATTTACTCGTACTGTTGGAATTTGGCGATAGCTTTCTGATATTACATGAATATATACTCTAGATGCCAGATTCATTCATTGCAGAGTCCACATCTTTTTTGTCCCACTAATTCTAATTCCTTTTCAGTATCTTTATCTTCTGCTTTGATATTGGTATTCATTGGAAACGAGAATACAATAAAGGGTGATGGTTTCTAGAGAAAGGATTGGTTTTATTTTGTACAGTCTATAGAATAACTGCCTTACCGACACACTGTGTTCCATTGAGAGTGTAGCCTTCTTTGCAGACACATGAATACAATCCTGGGGTATTCATACACTCCGTTTCATCTTGAGGGCAAATGTTTTCCCTCTCACACTCATCTATGTCAGAGCAAGCCAGCCCGTTGCCCACATAACCAACGTCACACACACACTGGTATCCAGAAGGTGATTGGTGGCACAGTCCACGACTGTGGCAGACAGGGTCACACAAAGGACTGGGCATCACGCAGGTGCCATTGGAGGCCAATGTTCCATTCAAACATGAACACACATGAGCACCAGGGGAGTTTATACACTTTGAGAAATCTGGGCAAAGAGGATCATAGAGGATGCACTCGTCCACATCTTCACATGAAAAGCCATCACCTTTGAAACCCAGCTGACAGGAGCAAAAGAAGTCCCCCATGACATTGTTGCATATTGCACGTGCGTGGCATGTACCTTCCACAGAACACTCATTTATATCCTCACACTGAGTGCCATTTCCTGCAAAACCTCGCTTACAGGTGCAAGTGAAGGACCCAATGGTGTTGAGGCAGGTTGCGTTCACATGGCACGAGTTATCTTTACACTCGTCCATATCAACGCAGTCCATGTTGCTGGCCGGGCGGTAGTATCCGACCTGGCAAGGGCACTTGTATGACCCATCAATGTTCTTGCACTTTTCATTCACTCCACATGGATTGTTTGGTTCACACTCATTTATATCCTGACAAAGAGTCCGGTTGACCAAGATGTATCCTGGTTGGCACAGGCAATAAAAGGAACCCTGGTTGTTGACGCATGAAGCCTTGTTCCGGCAACCTCCATTGTCCAGCAGACACTCGTTTATGTCTATGCACTGGATCACCCCCTCTCCAGAATAACCCACCTGACAGGTGCAGTTGTAGGAGCCAGGGACATTCCTGCAAAGGGCATTGGAGTGGCACTGCTTAGCCAGTGAGCACTCATCCACATCCACACAAGTGAAGCCATCCCCCCTGTATCCTGCTGCACACTGACAAGAGTAAGAGCCGGGTGAATTTGTGCAGTTTGCGTAAGGGCTGCAAGGGTCCTCCAAACACTCATCATTGTCATTGCACTTGGAGTTATTGAAGGTATATCCTCTACCACAGTTGCAGTAATATGAGCCCCCAGTGTTGACGCAGTTAGTGATAGAAGGGCAGATGTTTGGTGTTGCACACTCATCAATGTCCTCACACAGACGACCATCTCCTAAAAAACCTCCCAGACAGGAGCACTCGTAACTCCCAAGCCTGTTTATACAAGTTGCACTTGGGTCGCATTCATTGATTCCATTGCATTCATTGAGGTCTGCACAGGTCAGTCCGTTTCCGTCAAAACCACTATTGCAGGTGCAGCGGTATGACCCCAGTGTGTTAACACAGTCTGCATACAGACTGCAGGTGTTGCTTGCACATTCATCGATGTCCACACAGCTCTTCCCATTGCTTTGGAAGCCACTCTGGCAAGAACAGCGGTATGAGCCAGGCAGGTTTTGACAGCCTTTGTAGCCAAGTGAAGAAGAACACACACGAGGAGTCTCTGAACATTCATCTATGTCAAGACACAGGTAGTTTCCATTTCCTTTAAATCCAGCATTACAGGTGCAAACATAAGAACCAGGGTTGTTAGTGCATGTGGCGTTCCAATGGCAGATCTGTGAGTTTGCGCATTCATTTATATCCTCACACTGAAAGCCGTCGCCCCTAAAGCCATTTTTACACCGGCACTGTCTCCCACCCTCCAAATTACTACAGATGGCACCGGCATGGCATCCCCCGTTGTCTTTCTGGCACTCGTTGATGTCCTGGCAGTTAGTGCCATCTCCAACATATCCATTTATACAGACACAGCTGTAGCTGCCAAGGTTGTTGTTACAGCGAGCCTTGGAGTGACAGCGATGCAAACCGCTGAGGCACTCATCAATGTCGTTGCACAGCAGACCATTGCCCTGGTAGCCCATGCGGCACTCACAGGTGAAGTTGTTTCTGACCTGCAGACAATCGGCCTGAGCATGGCACTTGCTGCCAGCTGCCTCACAGTCCTTCAGGGTGGCAACTGAAAAATAACAAGAGGGAGAGAGAGGAGATTGAGAACTGCTGAATGTGATTATGGGTCAACACAATTTTTACACAGATGTGTTTAGGTGGTTTATGTAATCTGGTGTGTACTGTCTGTGTGACAGTGCCATTGAAGGAAACGTACCTGCACAGCAGTGTTCCAGCCCTGCAAATAGACTGATCAGCCAAAAGAGTGGGAACCTGTAATGGCAAAGATAAAGTGTGTTGAGTGTTTAATCGTAGCCTGTTTTTCAGAAACAATGTAGTTTATCAACTACTAGAGACATATTGGTGAGGAGCTCTGAACTTGAAAATGGTGCATATATATCTTGTTTTGTCACTCAACACCCCAAAGATATTCTATCTAATTTGATAAATAACAGAGTAATGCAGGAAATCTCCATATTGGCAACATCTTCTGCCATTTTTGCCTCATCCCAATATTTTTTTTAAGGCAGTGGCTGAGAAAGGAATTGAGCTAAATTGTGAGAATAATGACATCAATCCCGGTTTATTCTTATTATGTTACCATCTAAATGTCAATATTCCCTCGAGGCCATGCAAGATTATTGTCTGTGTCTCAGGGGAAGGCTCTGTGTGGACAGAGACAGTACTGTGGCACTCCTATTACATAAATGCAGAACTGTCTACTGTATGTATATCTCATCAATCCACCCTTAATAACGACAACCACGACATGATGGCGATGACAGATGCCATCATGTCCACCACCACCTGTAGCCTTCAGATAACTTTGAAAACACAAGGTTAAAAAACAAAAACTGAAATATTAAACATTAACTTTCTGGAGTTTTTGCTAAAATCACTAATCCAATCTGATCCAATCAAACTATCTTTTGGTTGAATTATTTTCATACAATTACTGACTTGCATCACTGATTTTGGCTATGTATTCAATACATATTAGAGATTAATAAAGTATTGTCATTTTGAGGCTATTCTCAGCTATAATCTAGTTCTATTTGTTAAAGGTGGGGTAGGTAAGTTTCAGAAACCGGCTTGAGATACACTTTTTGTTATATTCCATGGAATGCTCTTAACATCCCGATAGCAATGAATATCTGATGTGCTTTGACAAAAAATCTATACAAAAATGTCATCTGTGGAAGCCGTAATACTGTAAAAAGTACAACCAATCCGTTTAGCCTGCTCGCTAAACGGATTGGATTGCCGCCCTGTCTGTCAGCCTTCCATCTCGTGCACGCACAAATGTATCTCGTGCCCTCATTGGGCGTGCCGTCATTGGGCGTGCCGTCATTGGGCGTGCATTGCGCGTTCATGTGTGTTGGAGGAGGTGCTCTGTAAGGAAGTCTGAAGGAAGGGGCGGATTCTTTTCGGCTGTGTACTTTCAAATTTGAGTGCACTCGAGCCGGTTTCTGAAACTTACCTACCCCACCTTTAATAGATTTGTTGTATAATATTATGAGCATAGACCTGATTTGTCTTTTATTTACTGTGTCTTGTGATTTCCCTTTTGGATTATTAAAGAAATCATGTATTCAGTATTTTTCACATTTAGAAATAAACTAATAAGTTGAACATGGATGAACATGTATGTCACTAAGACAATAATACACCGTTTTTATGTTTAAGTTCATGTATGGTGGTGATAATATCGATTTAATATATGTGTTCCAATATTACAGTAAGAAAAATAACAATTTGGTAAGGGTCACATGAAATAGATGAAATAACAGTTGCTATAAACCATAAAAGAAACATACAATTCTTAAACTACATCTTAAAGTGGACCTTACAGTATACCATAAACACAAAAGACAAGATAAATAATACAGAATAGAGTAGCATATTACTCACCGCATCTTTCCCCGTCTCCTTGTGGACTTTGAGTCTCTTCCCTTTTCTACGTCTATGCCCGCAGAGTTGAACCTCCGCCGTCAAGCAGCCTGTTCACCTTCCTTCTCCTCCACCTCTGTCGTTATTCCTCCACCCCTGGGACTCGCAACAATGGCCCACCGAACCCTGCACTGCCCTGACATTTTAAACCTCTGGGAAAGGGAACACCCATATCACCCAGCTTATGTGTCGGCTGTCGTACAATAAGAGACCCGTGCCCCGAGGCCTTTGTTTGTCCCCATCACTGTGTCAAAGGTAAGGACACCAATATGTCCATCAGGGAGTTGGGATTTGTGTAATTTGTACAATTTCCCTTTGTTTGTCAGAGAGATCAGTTTTTCATCAAAAAGGCGTGTTAAAAACATGTGGATCATATTGCAATCACTATTGATACCAGAATAATATGAGAATGTAAAGGAATACTTCAACCACAAAAGGACCATCTGTATAACAATAACTCACCCCATGTTTAAACATGTTTTGCATGCCTCCATGACGAACAAGAAATCAAAAATGTTTAGAAAAGTCCTTAAGAGGCCCTATAATGCTTTAGTGCGTTATATAGGTAAATGGTCTGCAAATGCTAAAATCCCAAAGTTCCCTCCAGAGGGAGTTTCTCTCCCCTTCATTTAACTATTTACACACTGAAAAAAAGCTTGTATAAGGAAGTGTGAAACTGTACATTTTATTGTTCAAAATAATAAGGTTTAAGTATTTAAAGTAACATTGGGGTCATATGATAAAGAAATTATGATTTTGTGGGTGAAATAAAAGATCCATATGGTAATCCATATGGGATTCATGTAAAATAAAACCAAATTGTTGCTATTATTCCAGGGTGAGTTCTACCATCTAATATAAGACTTCATTTGTGCAGTGACATAGTTGACCTGCCATTGATCCCTGTGTACAATACAGTATATGACACACAAAGTCATAAATCCTTGGCAGCAGCTACTGGAGCGACAGATATCGAGCTGGTTTATCAGCTCTACCCACAAGTGGGAAAAGTGGAACTGTGGTAAAGATTTCAGTTTATGATCACTGCAGACTGTTTACCTTTGTTCAGTGGCGGTTCTAGACCAATTTGACTGGGGGGGGGCCACTGGGGGGCCAGTTATTTTCTGAGGGGGGCACAATAAATGCAGGACGAAAAAGAGAACCAGACAGTATGAAGTAATTGCGCATAAGAAAACAATGCAATACAGTTATTGGTATTTGTTTCAGTACACTTATTTATTTCAGATATATCTTATAGTTATTACTGTTAGCTTCAGCTTAAGTTATAGTGCAATGTTTGCACTAACACCATATTTATATAAAAATAAAGGCAATGAACAGTTACATCTCTACTTTACATCTACAATTACACGGATACAATAGTTTAAATCAGTGGTTCTCAACTGGTGGGTCGCGACCCAAAAGTGGGTCGCGGACCCGTTAGGAGTGGGTCGCGGATGTGTGAGTGAAGAAAAAAAAAATGTAAATTTTTTTTTTTCAATATTTTTTTTTTTGTTGGGGAAAACTCAAACTTTTATTTTGAAGGCCCAATTTTCTTACAGTCGGCGTTGGACTGGAAGTACCGGAGACCATAAACGGTTTTGAAAACTTCTGTCACGCCTCTGATGATCCGAGATGAAAAGTGTTTGTTTTTCGCGCGCTTCAGCCGGACAGTGAAAGTGAGTGCACCGCTCTCATGGGTCCTGAGTGCACCGCTCTAATGGGTCCGACTAGAATGACGAATAACGTTAGTTCCGCCTATTCCGTCATTCAATAAATCGTGTAATAAATCATGCATTTTTCATTTTTTTCACTTTTCATTTTTAGGGGGGCCACAGGGGGGTCAGAGGTCAGTGTTAGGGGGCACTGGACCCCCCTGGCCCCCCCTTAGAACCGCCCCTGCCTTTGTTACACTTTACTTTTAAATCAGTGAGGGTCTGGGTTGTATATTGCTTATCAGACAGTCAGCGGCTGTAACAAACACAGTTTTCAGTTTTGCACTGACCATGGATGGACCCTCTGTGGAGCTTCTCTCTAGTCTAGCAGGTAAAATAAGCAGTTGGTGAAAGAAAGTGTAATGGCGTTTTCTGCCACTAAGAGCTTCCTGAAGGGTAGAGAGCAATAGGGCTACTTCTTAGATGTAACTAGTATTGCAAAAATAATGCCTGGTTTACCTTTTAAATAAAATAAAATGTTTTGTGTTTTTGTTAAAGGGCCTTTGTCCACCAAATAATGATGTTTCCCGTCGGAAAATGACAGACGCTAATCTGAAAACACCCAGCTGTAAGCGCTTTGGAGGCTCAGCAGTTTATAAACTGAGATGCTTTGGTTGCGCATGGTTGCTATGATACGAATTATCCGCAGAAGTATAAATGTCAGCAGAAGTTGCTCTCGCCATTTGTCTAGATAACTGGAAGGCTGAAAACTTTTCTGGTTCAAGAGCTGAAACTGGACTGAGCCCAATTTTTAGTAGTCCGCCCCTTCTGCACTGTGATCAACACAGATTTAAATTTAAAAAATGTGACTCAATTTACTATCTTGATTTAGCATTCAGGAAAATGGTTTCAACATAAAACTTCTCAAATACAACTCTGGGGATTATCTTTTTTATATATATATTTTGTTTGCACTTTGAGTGATGACTTTGCTACAGAGCTCTCTTACAATGTTCTGACAGGGGCAACCAGTGTCATTAACACAAACGTTGTCATAAGAAAGTTAACATTTAACACAAAGCAAAGGAGCAGTAGATAATTACGCAGGTTGAAGAAAAGCTCATGAGCATTAGAGCATCTAACAGTCCTTTGTTAGTCTTCAAACTCTGTTAGGGAAAAGTGGCAAAATCAAGAATCCTTTGTCGTTTGTCCACAAATGTTACATAAGAAATTGTAATTTAATTGTAAAGTATATGTTCAAATTATACATTGTGAGTTTAGATCACAGCAACAACTTTTGAACCACAGGTGTCACTGTTCACGTTAGCAAAGGCTGCATTCCAGGGAAGGAGCATACACTTTTCCATGGGCACATGAATGCATCATTGCAGTTACACCTGTGTTTACCACTATTATTTGCCTTATAAAAGGTCTATAGGTACTTCATTATGTACTGTCAGCTGTGTTTTGCATGCACAAGGGATACAAGATAGATACCTACATCTGCTAATTAATCTTGTAGTCACAATATTAAAATAGCCAAAATTAGCTACTCAACTTTTTAGTGTCATTCGTCCTGCCAAAGTTTAATAATTAACTGAAAATATATTTGTGGAGTCAAACCCTTAACAGGTGAGCTGGCTAGTTACTGCTGGGCGCAACATTATGCTTATCTTTATATGTTATCATATACAGGTATACATACAGTAGTTGATTTTCTTTAACTTAATCATATTTCCAAGGTGATACTCCAAATCCCTCTGAAACACAGTTTAAAGAAAGTCATAATTTATCTAATAAAACATGAGGTGTTTTACAAGGGGTGGGTCAAATTAAAGTGGCTTTGTGCTTGGTTCATGTTTTTTTCTTTAACCTTTTTAACACTTAGCAGTGCATGGTAAGGACTAGTGATATTGTGAGGAGAATGTGAGGCTATGTGACTTATAAAAGGAAAGGCATTGGCATAAGGGACATTGTGCTGTCTTAAAGGCGTTTTATGTTATAATTGGTTTGCAGTGCATAAAGTCACCACTAGGAGTGCTAATGGTCATGTTATCTTTAAGTTCGCCGTTCTTAGTCTCACTTCCGGTTTACGGCATCGCCACTTCCGGTTTAATGTTAGAGGAACGGCACGGCCAGAGAGTGTATTTCTCCAAATATAATCTGTTTCCATCCACAAGAAACATCCTAGAGGCAATGCTGTAAATTCGTCTATTTGACCTATTTCATGTGAAAGATCATTTATTAGGAAGAATATTCTTACAAAGATCATTGATTAGTTATGATTTATTTACAACTATGTTAAACACTGTAAAGAATACAGGAAAGCAATTCAAGTTTGTATTTACAATAACAACAATGTATTGTGTTTATTTACAGTTTTCACCGCCATGTCTATGAAGAATTGTGACAGTAAACGGTCAAAATTACTACGACTCTGTCTTCATTGGCTGCGGTTTAACTCAGTGTTTACACCAGAGTTTCAACACACTGCATGAGAACACAACAGACATGTTGTGCTTTTAGAGTTTCTGTCAAAGAAAAAACAAAACATTCCAATTGCAACAATTAGACTCACTCAAAATATGAAATTGTTGACTTGAATTCAACGTAATTTGTCAACAGATTCAACGTATTTGTTTGCATGAAATCAGGTTACAAAGACTGTAACTGTCTGCAGCTGTTTTTCACCTTTGATGAATGTAGATCAAATGAGGGTATATTATTGCGTATTTTTCAACTGTCCAGTCTATTATTTTGGTAAAAATGGGGGGAAATCTTGGTACCCCTTTTTTCCAATACCTGGATATTATTTTGTTATTGTTGGATTTTTGTTGGGATATATTAAACAATGACATGTGATTGATATTTATACAATCAAATGTGTGTGTTTGTGTTTGCTCCTTATAGGCAGTGGTGAACTGTGTAATAAAACCATAGACTGTATATATAAATGGACGTAGGGTCCGTGACGTCACCCATAGGATTCTGCAGAGTTGCCGTGAAGCCCTTAGTAGGCGGAGTCGGCCACTAACGGCTCGACAGTGACGTCAGAGTTCAACTCCCGCCTGTTCCAGCCCGCTCCAAATAAGGGCAAAGAGGCGGAGCCGAGGCGGGACCTGCTGCCACCGAGCTGGAAGTGCCAGAGCTAGCTGAAGCTACCAAGCTAAGCTAACATGCTCCCTTTATATATAGTCTATGCATGCTCCCCATCTGCACGCTGCCGTCGCATTTTACGTTTCTAAGGTAAGCGGACATGAAACTATTCAGCAAAACTATAAATAATAATCTAAGTTATTGAGTTTTTAGCATAATACTTCAGAATCTTAAAACCCCTTAACGTTTGTATGCAATTGTGCTAAATTCAACACTGGAATCAAGCAAATATTAATATGTTTGCATGACATTAGTTATTTATATTTTGATATCACTTAACTATACGTTTAATACATTTAAGTCAAGCTAAGGTACGGTGATGGTAGCTAGTT